AGTGTGTTCTATACAAAAAATATTGCTTACATATTTTAAAAAAATTTTTCCCTAAACATTTTCATGTGTGAAGAAAAATGTTTGAGTTGATTTTGCATTGGCATTTTGAATGTAGTGTTTCACCCTGTAGAATCATTGTGCTAGTTTTTTATCATGGCTTTGTCTTAGGGAAACAGTTTGGTAGTTAGAGAAAATGTGTTTCCATCTGTGAGAGGATTGTGTTTGTGGAGATATTTATCCAGTGGTTCCAATCTATTAAGTTTGCATCTGTGTGTCTTATTTAGTTGATTTTTATACATACAGATTTAATATACTTTTTTCAATATTCCATAAATTTATTTATTAATGTGATGCTGGTTTTTTTTTTTCAGTCTGCCCTCATCATTCAACCCCTGTAGAGAAAATAATTAAGTCGCTGTTTCACCCTTTGGAAATATTATTAGATTTTGAGTCTGGTGTTATTTCTTGAATCTTTTAGTTTCAGATTTCATTATGCTAAATTTTATTAAGGCATTTGCTGAATTGAATAAATTTTAAAATATAGTAAAATCTAAAAGAAGGCATTTCAATTCTTTCTACTTATTCAATCTTCTGAAAATATTATTAAACTATTAAAAATAAGGCCTAGATTTTTGAAAATGCAAGTGGCAAACATATTATCAAATAAAATATTATGTGACCAAGTTGTTTTTTTTTTTTTTTTAATAAAGAATAAAATTCTCTATAGTTATATCAAGGGAGCTTCTTTGAAGAAGCAGATGTTCTACAGCCACTGTACTTGATAACCATGATTTGCTGACTGTCTTTTGGGTCTGATTCTGTGCACATGTATGAACAGGGCAGATGAGACATGACCTCTGCACTTCAGAAGCTTTGCAGTGTAATTGTAGAGATGACACCTGTACGGTAATTACTGCATTACAGTGCACTGCATGAGGTGTTATAACCCTGGTAGTTAAATGTTGTAGGACTTTAGATAAGGGCTATCGCCAGTTGAGTATCAAGGTTGTCTTCAAGGTGAACTTGAACACTGTTTTACATTGATTATTGTCAGTACCATCTCTAATAAAATTTGAAGAGTAACCAGACTTAAAGCTCCTGCTTACCTATGGCTTTTCACTTAGTTAACTGAGATTATGACATAATGGTTAAGAGTAAAATATCTGCTACGTTCTGCATAAATGTTACATATTATCTTCACCATCATCAGTTTTACTTTGCTTAAAAACTCAGTTCAATCTTTGCTCCTCCTGTCAAACCAAAATGTATGAGTTGCTCCTTACTCTTTATTCCTAGAGAATCCTCAGCAAGTCATTACCAGAGCACTAATCTATGACATTGATTTCTAACTGTGGCTTTACTTCTCTTTCTCACCAAAGCCCTTGAGGTGATGGAATGTGTATATCCCAAACCTAGCATTATTCCTACTGCTATTCCTCTCATTATTCCTAGTGTCTAAATTTTTGTCGAATGAATGATTGAACTCAACAAAGCTTACATTCAGTATAAGAAAATGGATATTTATACAAGGTTGATGTCAGAGATGATGGAGAGAAACGGATGATTTAATTATATGTTTTGAGATATAATTGACAGGATTTATTGATGGATTGGATTTGGAGAATGAGGGAGATGGATAAACCAAAGCTTGAGGAACTTGTTAATACCATTTAGTGAGATGATGGGACTGAAGAAAGAATAGGCTGTTTTGCAAATGTTCGAGAAGCGTACTCCACTTTTGAGTAGAGCTATTAAATAGGCAGTTGCATATGAATCTGGAGCTCAAAGAAGAGATCAAGACAAAATATAAATCAGGAAGTCAGTAGCCTATAAGTGATATTTTAGGCTACATTGCAGGATAAAATTGCCTTTTGAGAGAATATAAGTTAAGGAAAGAAGAGGGTCCAGAACCAAATTTGCAGCGTTCAAGCATTTAGTGATCTAGAAGAGATAGAGAAGCTAAAAAAAGAAATTGAGGAAATAGTGGAAATCGCCAGTTTGATCTAATGCTGCCTAAGGGATTTGGATGAAAAGTAAGTGATCATTGCGTTTGGCAACATGATGGTTGTTGGTGAGGTTAATTGTGCAGTGGTAAGGTCTGGAAGCCAAATTGGAATAGATTCAAGACTGAATGGGAAGTGAGGGAGTAGAAATCTGTAGGAACTAAATCCTTGAGTAGGCTGTAGGGGATGGAAATTGTCGTTCAGCATCACCAGCCTTAGGTTTCCATCCTTCCAGTTTATATCATCAAGTCCCAAAGTGAACTCATGATGCACTGCCCTCCAAAATCTATTCCTCTTCCTAAGTTTTCTATTATTAATGAATTCACTTTCCTTTCAGTGATCTAGATTAGAACCCTCATGATCGATGTGGTCATCTCCTTCTTCCACTTCTCCCCATATAATCAGTTGCCGTGGACTATTGAGTCTTCTCTGTGGCATTTTTAAAATGGAACTCCTCCATTTTATTGCCATTGCCACTTATGCTGCTTTTGCCAGACACTAATTAGCTCGTCTTCAAACTCATCTAACAGTTTCCAAAGTACTCCCTGCTTTTGTTCTCCCCCTTGTCAGTACATCTGTCCATCAGCAGGCATGTTTCTCCTAAAACATAGCTTTGCTCATTTCATTCTCCTGCTAAAAATAAAACCAAATTCTTTTTGCTTGTCACTCAGAACCCTCTACCTTTTAAACCTTATCTTCCACTACCTTCTCTTCATTCAGCCTGCTATTCTGAAATATTTGCTGTTTTCTTAAATATATCCTGCATTGTTTGGCCTCCCCACCTTCAGGTTCACTGTTACCTCTGCTTTACATGTCTGTCCTTCCTTTCTCATATAAATCTTCTTTATTTCCTAATGTATATTACCTCTAACAAACTGTAGAGTCTACCCTAAGTATTAGGAAATTTCAAGGCTCTCAGTGCTACTGCTTTACTTGATCAGTTCTTTAAAAATTTCATACTACTGATTTTTATTTTAAACCATAGTTATCTGTACCATCACTACTTCAACCAGTCTTCACTTTTAGGAATAGGGTACAGGAATGATTTACTGTCTGAAGAAAAGTTTCTTGGGAATTTTGCTAACAATTGTAGGTCATGATATTCTGTAAATAGAGGATGCCTACAAAGAGTCTTCTACTAGGCATCTCCTCTTAGTAGCAGCTTCCCACTGATTTTGATGAGGCAGCTAGAGGTTGAAAGGTGAGCATGATAACTCCATATGAAAGGCAGTTTTCCTCAACTGGGCAGTTACACATTAATAAAATACAATGGATTCTTTGTTTTATGGTTGTTGGTATTGGGGTGTGCGGGGAGAACTGTGTCTGTGAAATTATTACTCTGAGTTTTACCTTTTTTTTTTATTTTTTATTTTTTAGGTGAGGCAATACTTGGTTGACCTCTCAAATAGCAAGGACCTTGTCATCTTACAATCCCTTATTTTTAATTTTTTATGCCTACAGCACTTGGTCTTCCTAGGTGGTCTCCCATCCAAGTACTAACCAGGCCTGACCCTGCTTAGCTTCTGAGATCAGACGGGATCGGGCTTGTTCAGGGTGACATGGCCGTAGACTGAGTTTTAGCTTTTAAATGGGAGGTGCCTTTCAGAAATTTTGCTCACTGCTACATATTCTAAAAGAAGGATAGCAGAAACTGTATAAAGATTGTAGTCATAGAAAAAATTACTTGTCAGAATATTGAATTTAGTAATCTATCATCTTTTCCACCCATAAGTGGCTTTAGGGGGTTGCTAATGTGAGGATATCAGTAAAAAGTAAAATGAAGGTATTTTTTCAAGACATTCTCTTGCGATACATGTTACCCTTCTGTTAGGTATTTCAGCTTTCGTCTCATTATTGGAGTATAAAGTAGGCTTTAGGTGTGTTTAATTTGTACCTAATCTTTTAAGAATGAAGTTGGACTCTTGGCTCAAGGGGAAACGATTGCATGATTTTTTTGAAAAGATGAGATTTAAAATAAACATTCTTTTTCTTATTTAATGAACTGTGATACTGGAGCATTATTATGAAGAATGGTATTTTTAGAAAAAGAAAAGCAGCATAATCACCTGATTTAAGAACTGTCACTGGACTGTTGCAAGAGTATTATCTGTTTGACCTTTCAGTAAACCGATTGCCAGTCCTCCCTTGCCAGCTGTTAATTGTAGTCAACTATTTTGGATCTTGGGGGATATTGTAATTAGTAGTGTAAGATACTGACTTGAGAATTCAAAATATCTCGCTTTCTAGTAAAATAAAAGATAAATGCCTCATATTTTGAGTGGGATAACAAGACTTTACGAAGTAAACTTACCTCCTCAAAATTACTTTTTATTAGTACTAACAATGAGAAAAAAAGTTACAAAATTATAAAGAAAACCTGAAAACAACTTGCTTTGACTTCTTTGTCACAAATGTTTTATGGTTGTTCATCTATTTTCTCTCACTTTCATTTCCCCAGGAAACTTTGTATTTCAGCATCCTTAATTGACACTAACAAAATTACCAACCAGAGGAGTTCCTGGAGGCTGGGCCCTGTAGTGTCAGGAGGACCTCAATCTTTTGATATATGTTTTCCCCTTTCATTTAAAAGGGGAAATAACCACTCTTATTCTGGATAATATTTAATTCAAGATCTTAAAACTCTATTATTTAAAATTTATCAATGGAAGGAAAATCAAGTGCTTTTATAAACTGATTCTTATATATCCAAGATGGTTCATAGCTGGCATTAAAATGCTCTACGTTTTCTTACAAAGGTTTCAGCGTTTTAATAGTTTAAATTTTGGTAGAATTTTTTTGAGTCCTTAATAGGGTAATAGAAAAACAAAATAGTGGCTTAGGCTAATTATATTGGTAATTTCAGTAAAGCATTGATATGTGAACATCTAAAGATACTGGGCATTTAAAGTACATAAATTTTTATTATAACCTAAGAGCAGTTTGTCTTGGCAATAGATTATTTTAAATTTACAATTTAATTTTTTTTTTTTTCTACAGGAAGGAACTTGAAACCTTCAAAGGTAATTTTGTGTTTAATTCTTCACTTTAAAGTGGATGAGAGTTAATTGATGTCAGATGTTCTCTCTTGATGATGATGAAAGTAGTTATTCTTTTTCTTTAAATCAGTTTACATCAAGAAAAGTTTGTTTAATACTGTTTTATTTAATCGTAACTGGTTTTGATATTCTTTTAGCTATAACATGTACCAAGTGAGAGTTTTCACTAATGACCATTATAAGTAATATGTTTGGATGGCACAGTGCTAACTTTGAGGTTGAAAAATGTAGTTTAAGAAGATTCTGTTTTCTCTTGTACAAAGTCTGGGCCATATGGAGAGGGTATGGTGGTAAAGATAGAGAGCTATGCTGCTGCAATTGACCCCATAGTCACCTTGAACCTGTTGAGAGGTTTTCAAAGCTGAGTCCTGCTCTGCCACTATCTTGAAACTTTGGCCAAGTCTCTTAAACATTTTCCAGACTCAATTTTTGCATCTATAAAATTAAGAGCTGTGAGGAGCTATATTTTCACATACTGAAAGCTCATGCAGTATTGTTTTTCAAATTTAGGGAACTTCTGAAGGCAGAGCACTGAAGAATTGGTCATGTTGACCTTTCCCTTACTGGTCAGGGAAAACCACTAGTGAAAAATAGGGAAAACCACAGACTTTCCAAGCATCTCAAGACCCTTCCAATTTGCTATTTTTCAAATACTCATTAGCAATTAAGTAGTGAAATCACTATTCTCAGAGAGACTCATTTCAATAACCAGAAAGACTTTGAATTACTGCTTAGTGTATTTCATACATAAACTAATATTGACCTTTAGATTTACTGAATGATTAGGATTTTCCAGTATATTATTTACAGCTGAATTGTTTCTTTGTGTGAGCTCTTCGGATGTTTTGGGAAAAAAATGACTAACCTTCAATATAAAAGTATAAAGGCTTATACTTACTTTGAATGTAAGTGAGCAGACTCGTTTTGGCTAAGTTTCTATTTAACTGACTGCAGTTATAGTAAAAGATTAAGTTCATGGCCAGTTTGTTGAGGGAATGTTAAATGATCATGTGGTACATTTTCATGATCATTCTTATTTTGTGAACTGTGACTCGTGTACATTATTTTTCATCAGTGGTTAAAAATGAGATTTGAAATTCTCATAAAATGTTCTAGTTCACTCTCTTTTAGTCAGCTAGCATCTTTTTATATAATATTAGGAGAAGAAAAAAAATTAAGTTAATACTAAAAGACAGGCAGGGACACTGATTATGCAGAATGTCAACTTGCATCTCAGTGCGGAGGCATTCTTTTCTTTTAGTATGACAGTGTTCAGAGAAACAGGAGAGGCCAGCAATTTGCAAAAGGTTAGGTAGTGTTGCATATTACTGGGTAGAATAATTCAATTTAAGCCAATATATCTTGTTTATACACACATCCATAATTATGTACAATATTTAATAGTACATCCAACCCACAGGCCAATTAAAGTTCTTGACTTTGAACAAACCATAAATTGATTATTGCATCATATCAAGCTTTTTTAGTATCAGTATTCATTAAAAATTCTTTCCTCTTGAGTGTTGCACTAATATTTCAAAAGCATGGGTAGCATATTGTAAAAAAATAAATTTAACTGCTCTTTCAAGACATTAGTGAAGAAAAATTCCTTCAAATTGTAACAATTTTTTATTTTTTGAACATCATTGTCTTTGCCTTTATTTTTGCTTTATAATAGCCTGTGGGAAAACAAAAGGTATTACTTCCTTCAGTTGTTCTATTCAATTTGTGTTAGTATTTGGAAGCTTTTTTTCTAGGCTGGTGAATAACTAACTATTGGAGACAAAAACACAAAATAACCCTCAAAGTTAGTAATATAGATCAATATCATCCACTAAGTTTTGGATTCTTGCTTCTATATTCCGTTTAGGTTAATGGGTCAGTTCACCTTTCACTTGAGCCACATATAGCTAATCTCTACAATATTATTGAAACTAGTTACTTATTGTTTGTTTCATACTGGTAGCAGGGAGTTTTTGTGTTCTTCAAATATTGCATTCCTTTAAACTTTTTAGTGATAGTCTCTTGAATAATAGACAATAGAAAAGGGAGGGTATGATCTTAAGTCTTAATTTTTTATTTTCCATGGGGAAGGAATTCCATTATTGTAAGCATAGGTAGAGTAAACAGGCATACCTTGTTTTATTGTGCTTCACTTCATTTCACTTTGCAGATACTACATTTTTTACAAATTGGAGGTTTGTGGCAACCCTGTCTCAAGCAAGTCTGTCAGTGCCATTTTTCCAACAACATTTGCACACTTCATGTCTGTGTCACATTTTGGTAATTCTTGCAATATTTCAAACTTTTTCATTATTGTTATATTTGTTATGGCTATCTGAGATCAGTCGGCAGCAATCAGTATCAAGGCAAGATCCTCTATTAGGAAAAAGTACAACTCATTGAAGTCTCAAATGATGGTTAACATTTTTTAGCAATAAAGTATTTTTTAAATAAGATGTACATTATTTCCTTATATATAATGCTGTTGCACACTTAATAGACTACAGTATAGCGAACATAACTTTTATGTGCACTGGGAAACCAAAAAATGTGTGTGACTTGCTTTATTGCGATACTTGCTTTCTTGCAGTCATCTGGAAGCAAACCCGCAGTATCTCCGAGGTATGCCTCTAAGGTTTTCATAGTCCTTTAACAACATGAGAAATTGGCATGAATAGACTTATCTATTATTTAGGGATTATTCATAATTTTTCTACTTTCATTTTAAAAAGATTGTCATTCCATAAATCTTAAAATCACTCTTAAGATTTTAAGTCTAGAAATACTGTGCCACTGAAAGGAGTAGAGGCAAGGAGATCTAGTATTGGATATTGTTCTTACTTCCATAAGATTCCTGACTTAACATGGTGTTAATATGCAGACTTGCTCTTTAACCTTCAGTGGCTTATGAAATTTAACCATTCTCCATTTTCTCTGTAAAACATACAGCCACAGCATGCTGAATGCTCGTGGCTTGTCTGCATGCACATCTAAATATTTTTGTTTCCACCGTTGCATTGACAGCTTACCCAGACTGAGTTGTGTTTGCTTCTGAACTCATTTATACTTGTTATTGTGATACACAGTTTAATTCTCAGATACAGTGATGAAACTTCAGTGTTAAGGAGAACTGTAAGGAAACTAAGTTCAGTGCTTTGGAAGACTTACTATAAGTAAATAGCTTTAAAATTAGCGTAAAGGGTATAATTAAGAATTAGAAAAGATTTGGGGAAAAAATAATAAAAATCCTGAAAGATTTTTCACATCTTAAATTCCTGCTCTTTACACAGATTGTTTCACATCTTAAATTCCTGCTCTGCTTTTAAAAATAGATTGGAAATTTGATCCATTGCAGTACAGGTGGCTCATGAAAGAATTTTCAGATCAGTGAACCTATACTCATAGAATTTATGAATAAAGTATGGTTATATTTTAAATTAAAGTGTTTGTATATATGTTTTTAATAGATTTCTGTATTAACTGCTTTTTAAAAAATTAAATGACCAACACGGGGTCCAGTTGTATCATGTGAGAGAATGTTCTTTATAATCTCCTCCTTAATATAAAATCACCTAGCTATGTCAGAAATGTGACTGACAGTGGAAAACATGCTAGGATTTAGGAGTTATCACTATCACGGTGAGAGGATCATTGTGGGAGTATATGGGAAAAGGCAGCTAAGGCTAGCCTGATACAGTGCGATCACATTTAAGGCTTAGCTCTGGAAAGCACTGCCTGAGAGGTCAGAGAAACAGGAGGAAGACCAAGACAATTTAGTGACAAGGAAGGCCGGAGAGGAGAAAGTTTAAAAGAAAAGTGGTCGCCAGTGATATATTTGACAATAAATAGGTAATTGGTGACTTGAAAGAGCTATTTGTAAAAGGAGAATCCAGATTGCATATCAGAAGTATATGAGAAGTTAAGAAGTAAACATTGACATTAACTATTCTTTCATGAATTAAAAGAAAAAAATGAAAAGATAACTTGAGATAGAATCAGGTTCGAGGTCAGGAGAGAAAGTGAAATCGAGGATGCTGAGTTCATTAAGATCCTAGAGATGATAGAAAGAAATATTCAGATAGGTTATTCTTGGAAAGGACCCAATGACATCTCTTTCCTGCCCTGAGACCTCAGAAAAGGAAAAGGTGGTTAGAAATATGGGGAAAAAGTTGACATGGAAGGAGGAAATAATTTTTTGAAAATCAGCGTTAAGTAAGATAGTCTGAAATTGCAGGACTAGGCTCAGAAGTAGAAATAAAAACCAAAACAAATATGCTTTGGTTAAAACAGAATTGGGGGTGGGAGTAGCAAAAATGATGTATTGGCTTAGATGCTGATGAGAGCATGATTAAAATGATAGTTTGTGGAATTGAGACTGGATGGGGAGGCCCTACTAGACCAGTAAAATAAGCAAGATATGAGGTACAGGGGTGGCGTACATCAGAAAGGTGAAGAACATGTAAATAGTTGAGGTGGATTTGTAGTCAAAGAATTTCAGTTTGACATCTTAGAGGTGGAGCAGTTCTCAGTGATGATGAGAACTAAATTTAAGTAAAAATAGAAGTCACAAAATTGAAGAGATCATCTGAATCAGAGCTTTCTGAGGAATCTCACTTGTTTGGGTGACTCTCACGTACAGATTATGCATACTGCTGGCTTGGCAACGCTTAACATGTTACAAATCTGGATATGATGATAGATGGTAAACTTGGTAGAGTTTGTTGGTTCAGTTCAAGAGTTAGCTTAGCATGTAAGGCAAAACTATTCAGCCACCATTTGGCAATATTTAAGTGATGGAGATGCAGGTTGAATAATATAACTGTCCTCTATCCTCAAGGATATAAAGAACTATGACAAAGCTTATGGAGCAGAAAGGCAAATGTGCAATTTTAATATAATCTAAAAATATTATAATAGAAATAAGCACACTAGGGCAGGAGGAATCATCTCTTCGGAGAAAG